GGGGCTCTGGCTCTTCTTAGTTTGCGGAGGAAGTAGAGACGCTATATCATATATCATATAATAAAATACCGTATGTATTGTTGCTACTGTAAAGTGTATTAATTTATTATGGGATGTCCTTCAGTGCTTTCAGAATCTTTTAAAAATAATTTAGTTTCTGTATTTTTAAAATGAGCATTTTAATCACTTTTTATTGAACAAAAGTAAATGTTTATTAAAACAAACAAAAAACAGTACTTTGATAAAGTGATTGTTTTGAACAAGTATTAACTTAGATATTATTCAGAACATATTATTAGCTGAAGTGTTTGTATAAATAATGTGCCTTTTACCCCATGTGTGGCCCATCTCTCCACCTCATACATTTGTAAGATTTTTAAACAAAATAAATCACTTTTATCATTTATTTTCTCACAAAATCTGTTGTTCCATCAATGTCTAATAAAAACGTGTGTTTTTTCAGCAATCATACACTGTGGGAGTAGTGAAAAGCACATTTTTCCCCATTGTATCGTGCAGTACTTGAGTTTGTGCCTCAAGATGCTTTGTGTTTTTCTCTGCAGGTCCAGTGAAGACCAGTCTGCTGTCGGCCCCCAGCACCGTCAGCATGTTCGTTCCCGCGCCAGAAGACTTCAGCGACGAGCAGCCCACTACGATGGCCGACAGGTGGGTCTGACCGTCAGTGTTTCAGTGTGAAGAAGTGCAGAAGATCACAGCTCTGTGTGAACTGATCAGGTGCCGTGACTGCGGGGCTGTGCTGGAGGAGTATGATGAGGAGACTCTGGCTCTGGCTGTGGTGGTTCTGTCCATGTTCATCCATCTGAGTCCTGATCTGGCCGCTCCGCTGCTGCTGGAGATCATGCAGTCTGTGGGCAGGTACAGCTCTCTTCAACACACTACAGCAGTATAATCACTATGGCTTTCTTTCACTTCGTTGCTTTTATTCTGCAGGTTGGCCTCTAGCTCCAATTTCACAGGTCAAGCTGAAAGGTGAGTTCTGCGTTTACGCTTGTGTAATGCACTCTTTGAGTTGTGTAAGTCTGAGTGTTATTGTCCCGTGTGTGCAGTGTGCTGATTCCTGGGAATGTGGCTGGTGTAGCCAAGCAGTTCCTCCGCTGCGTTCTCCATCAGCTCGGACCCAACGGCATCCTACCACAACT